TGGGGCCTGGGGTGACTGCAGGGCTCAGGAGAGGTGGGACTCAGCTTGGGGGTGTGTGAAAACACAAATGTCTACTCCAGAGATAAAGGGGCAACATTTAAATGCAAGGGAAAAAAGAGAGATGGGGAAGGAAACCTATAGATTGAAAGAGGCTTAAAAGACATTTCAGTCAATTCCAATGTGTGAGCTTTACTTATATCCTCATTCTCAAAGCATAAACTGTAAAAAGGCATTATTACATGTATGAGACAGTTGGAAATTTGAACTCTAACAGTAATTTATGACCGTAAGATTACTGTTAATTTTTGTGTGTGTGATAATAGTATTGTGGTTATATTATATCTATAAAAGGATTGTTATCTCTTAGTGATACACACTGAAATACAGATGAAATGACAGGATGTCGTGGATTTGTTTCAAAATGAGATAGGGTGGGGCCTGGGGTGACTGCAGAAGCAGCAGAATTGACTGTGGGTTGTAGCCACAGGACTGGACAGTCATGAGTTTCATTATACCATTCTGTCTACTCTATGGCTCTTTGAGGTTCCCCATTGTAAATGATTCTTAAAAATTACTGTTTGGCCAGGCACAGTGCCTAATGCCTGTAATCCTAGCACTTTGGGAGCCTGAGGGGGCAGATCCTTTGAGCCCAGGAGTTTGAGACCAGCCAGAGCAACATGACAAAACCCTGTCTCCACCAAATAAAAAAAAAAAGCAAAAATTAGACGGGTGAGGTAGCACACACCTATAATCCCTGTTAATCGGGAGGCTGAGATGGGAGGATTGCTGGAGCCCAGGAGGTAGAGGCTGCAGTGAGCCAAGCTAACACCACTGCACTCCAGCCTGGGCGACATAGTAAGACCTTGATTAAAAAATAAATAAATAGGCCGGGTGCAATGGCTCACACCTATAATCCCCCCGAGGCGGGCGGATTACAAGGTCAGGAGATTGAGACCATCCTGGCTAACACACTGAAATCCCGTCTCTGCTAAAAATATTAAAAAAAAATTTAGCTCGGCATGGTGGCATGTGGCTGTAGTCCCAGCTACATGGGTGACTGAAGCAGGAGAATCGCTTGAACCTGGGAGGTAGAGGTTGCAGTGAGCCGAGACCATGCCCAGCCTGGGCAACAGAGCAAGACTTTGTCTCAGTAAATAAATAAAGAAATAAAAAGATATAAATAAAAATTACTGTTGTCACAAAAAGATGATGGATAGGCTCTAATAGATAGGACAACATCCTCCTGGGAAAAAGTTAATGGCCTTGAAAAACCTCTCCATACTTGTATGCTCAAGGAGAAGGGTCAAGATTAGTATGGTTTGTCCTCAACACTGCCTTGTCATCTTCCCACTGAAGGCCCTGAGAGCAGGTCTTGGGCCTCAGCCCTGAGCAGGCAATAGTATTCAACAGTAATTAGAAGACATTCTGTTGTTTCGACGTATTTATTTTATGGCTACTTCTATTATATTTTGGGCTTTTGTTTACAGAAGAGACAAAGTTTGCTTCTTAAGTAAATATATGTAAACACTTTGATTTAAAGATAGGAAGTAAGAGTGCTAGTGGCACTCAGATATTATTTTTAAAATGTTTTAAGGGTGGTAGAAGTTTGGAAGGCACTGATGTGGGTCAGGAGACATTTTCTATCTGGTTTTAGTTATCAGGTGAGTAACCAGCTCACTCAAATCTGTTGCTTCTTCCAGCCCAGAGGGTCCCTGTGCCCAGGACAGAAGGCGCAGAGCCCATCATCCATGGCTGCCTCCCTGCATCTCAAACACTGACACCCAGAGAAGGGGCCCAATGCCAGGGAGTGGAAACAGCCCACACAGAGGTGGGGGTGGCCTCTACCATGGACCCCTGGCTTGGCCCCAGATACATTCCATACCAGGGTTGTATGCAAGTGAAAAGGGGGTCTGGGGTTCAAGTTTAAGGACAACGTAAAGGGATAAAATCTCAAATGGAAAATGTTTTACCCATCATTTTGTTTTCTTCCTTTTTTTTTTGAAATGGAGTTTTCCTCTTGTCTCCCAGGCTGGAGTGCAATGGTACGATCTCAGCTCACTGTAACCTCTGACTCCTGGGTTCAAGTGATTCTCCTGCCTCAGACTCCCGAGTAGCTGGGATTACCAATCCCAGTATGCAGCTGGAATTACCAGATGCATACCACCATGCCTGGGTAATTTTTGTATTTTTAGTAGAGATGGGATTTTGACATGTTGCCCACGCTGGTCTTGAACTCCTGGCCTCAGGTGATCCACCCACCTTGGCCTCCCAAAATGCTAGGATTATAGGCCCATTTTGTTGTCTTCCATGGGTTGCTCTCTGCTGGGAAAATATCCTGATTGCCTTAAATCACCTGAAACATAGCTGTTTAGCAAGCTGTGTCCACTCAGATATGTTTTGCTGGGCCAGTCTGTATGATTCTTTTTTTCTCTGTGTAATTAAACCTTTTTTTGAGATAATTGTAGATTCACATGTAGTTGTAACAAATAACACAGAGGGATGCTATAATGTGTGCCCTTTACCCCGTTTCCCTTAGTGGACATCTTGCAAAACTATGGGATAATATCACAACCAGGAACCACACATTTATACAGTTAAGCCACTGAGCATTTCCATCCCAGGGACTCCTCATGTTGACCTTCTATAGCCACATCACTTCCTACCCTGTGCTGTCCCTGACCCCACATTGACTCACCTTCCCTATACTTCTATAATTTTGCCTTCTCAAGAATCTCGTATAAAAGCAGTATACAGTATGTAACCTTTTGTGCTTTTGTGATGTTTGTTTTCCAGTCAGTATAATTCCCTGGAGCTTCATCCAAGATGGATGTATCAACAGTTCATTTATTTTTGTTGTTGAATAATATTCCATGGCATGGATGTGCCACAGTATGTAATCATTACCCATGAAGGACCTCTGTGCTGTTTCCAGTTTGGGCTTATTTGAATACAGCTGCTATGATGAACATTTTATGTACAGGTGTTTGTGCAAACATTAGTTTTCATTTCTCTAGGATAAATGTCCAAGAGTGAGATTTACCTGCTTGGCAAGACATATGTATGTGTGTATATGTGCCATATTTCATATGTACATATGTGTGTGCCGTATTTTACACACACACACATATATATGCTTGTTTATACACAATATTTCTCTGGATATATACTCAAGTGGAAAACACTGATTGCCTGTGGGGAAGGATATTGGGTGATGGGGAGGGAGAGGAATCACTTTCACTTGGAACTCTTTTGAGCTTAAGTTTCAACCATCTGTCTGGATTTTTGGAAAACAAATCAATAAAACGTACAACCCGCAAGACACCCGCAGACTTCCTCACAAATACTCACTCTGAGGCTGCCTTTTCTGCACAAGTCTGTCTTTTATTTCTTTAAAGGGAGCCCGCTGGAATTCCCCTCCCACAGGACCTGGTTCCACACGGGGCAAACCATCACCCCCTTAGTTCTGGAACCTCCAGGTTTCCCCCAACACACGTTCCCTGGTCTAGGGCCCTCATGCTTTAAGGGTGACCTTAAACACCCTGCATCACCATCCAAAAGCCCCTTTTGATCCCTGAGGGGCAGGCTCAGCCCATGCAGGCCTCGCTGAAGCCCAGTGCGGTGCCCATGCCCAGCCCAGGGACCACCTTCTCCAAAAAGCCTTCCGAGCTTGACTGACATCCTCTCCTTCCTTGTCACCCCAGTGGCATCGTTGTGTGTCTTCCTGGCTAAGCAGCCTCCACTTCCTGCACTCCTTACACAGTCGGCCTGTGCACCTCACTCTTCCCTTTCCTGACCTCCCACTAGGCTGGGCCTTCTCTGCAACGCTAGATTCATATTTTAGCGGCACCAAGTGCAACTCACGACAAAGACGGCTAAAAGCCACAGAGCACAGCACTGAATCTAAGACCTTCCATGGGTGTGCGGGTGGATTCCGTGGTGCTGAACTTTCTTTTGTGGGTGTGAGCGTCGTGGAGAGGGTTGTGCTTTGGCAGTGCTGGCGCCGGAAATGACCTTTGGGTAACCTATAATGGCTTCCGCAGCGGGTGAAGCAGGACAAGGGCGTGGGGTTCTCTGGCTGAGTGATCTGGGCACCTTTCAACCAGTTTTCTCCTGGAGAAGTGGGGATCTTAAGGCCTCTCTGAAGGATTCTGCCCGGGGCCTGAAAGCTTGGGGGGACACCTCCTCCCTCCTCAGGCCCCATCTCCAGGCACAAGACCACTTGAGCCAGCAGCGTGTGTCAGCAGGAGAGCAGAAGCCAGAAGAGGGCAGGCCGGAAGACAAGTACCCCCAGAAGGTCGAGAGAGAGACCTTCCTGGTACCGTGTAGCAGTTAGGTCGGACTGGGACACTTCCCGTCTACAGGAGACTGTAAGACTCCTGCCTCGCCCTCACTTGGGGCTGACGCCATTTTAGGCCTCAGCCCGTCTGCAGCCGGGCTATCATTAAAACAGCATGTTGCTCCACACCATCTCGTGTTGTTTGTTGTTGGCGCTTTCTCGGGGATCGAACCGATAACAGAGCCTTGCAGTGAGGGGGCTGAGGAGGAGCAGCCCCGGGCCTTCAGCCCTTCAGCAGGTGGCTTCCCTTTGCGAGCCCGGGGTCTCTCTTGGAAACATGGGCTGGGACAAGGCAGGCGCCGGTTTTCCTCATCCCAAATGTCCTGGGGCGTGTGTCCCATGGTTGCTGACCGTGGGTCGGGGCCTGAGCGCAAGGTCCACAGCCGGCGGCCTGGCTCCACCGCCAGGGGCGCTGACCTAAGCGGGATGCATGCTGCGGGGAAACCGGGGGCTCCCTCTACGGCCTTCTATGGTCTAGAGGTCCCCACAGGCGTGCGCGCTGGCTCAGCCTTTATCCGCGCGGGCGCGCCCCAATTCCTCTCCCTCAGCTCCCGGGGCCCGGGCGCGCGCCCCATCTCCCCGCCCCGCGACCGGGCGCGCGGGCCGGGCCGGGCCGGGGGTGGGGTCGCCGCGAGCTCGGCCCCTAGAGTTCCCGCGCTCGGGCCCAGGAAGCGGCCGCAGGAGGCGGCCCTTGCCCCGCCCCCGCGCTCATCACCTGCTGGCCTGGCGCTCACGGGCGGGGGCGGAGGGCGCCAGGGGGCGGCGCAGGCGGCCGGGCGCAGGGTCGCAGGAGTTGACGCGCGGCGAGGATGGCGGCGCCAGGTTTGGGACCGCTGCTGCTGGCGCTGTCGGTGCTGCTGGGGCTGGGCCCCTCCGCCGCGGCGGCCAAGCTCAACATCCCCAAAGTGCTGCTGCCCTTCACGCGGGCCACGCGCGTGAACTTCACCCTGGAGGCCTCGGAGGGCTGCTACCGCTGGTGAGAAGCGCGGCCTGAGGGGCGAGCAGGCGGGGGTTGGGGACCGTCTGGGGCCTTCGCGCTGAGAGGCCGCGAGGGCCCTGAGAGGCCGGCAGGTGCGCGGCGCGCTCTCGCTGAGCGCCCGGCGGCGGCTGCCGGAGCGGCGGGTGCGCGCTGGTTGCCACCAATGCTCATGGCGCCGCCCGGGCCTCCGCGCCGCTGAGGCGCGAGCTGAGCCTGCCGTGCCCCTAGTATTTTGGGTTTTGCGGGAGGAGGGGTGTCCTGGGAAGGGGCGTCTGGGGCCGCAGGGCCCGGGCCGACCTGAACAGGAAGGGGGCGCCGGGGCCGCTGGGTCGCACTTCCTTTGCCTCCCTTGCCTCCGGGATCCCGGCTTGGGTTTGTGTGTGACCGCCCTCGCCTTGGCGTGGGAAGTGGGTCTGTGGGAGACGAAGCGCAGCGCCTAGCGTCGCTGGGAGGCATGGAGACCTTGGAGGAAAGGAGTTGGAGGGGAGCCCAGGGGCCGCTTTACAGAGGCCAAGTGAGGCGAGGCTGGCCGGCGCTTCCCCTCAGGCTGCCTCCGCGCGGGTCCTGAAGCTCAGGGCATTTCAGTCACCGTCCCTCCTGGGTTGGGAGTTCTCCACGGGCTTGAGATGTGGAGTGTGACCCTGTGTCACCAGAGGGATCCATGAAGCCTGAGGCCGACACTGACAAGGCGGTGGGGTCCAGCCCTTCCCTTTTGCAGACCGGGCGAAATGGAGCTCCTGCCCCTGGCAAGGCTGAGAGGGCGCGACTGAGCCTCCCAGCCCTGCTGGGGGTGAAAAGATGGGATTCCGCCCTTCCCACCGCCTGGATACCCATTGGTTGCTCCCTTTATTTCTCTGTTTCAAGGCTGAATCAAGGTTGAGGCAGAACGTGGACCACATGACAGCGCCACGTGTGTGAGCCTGGACATGTGTGTGTTTAAGCCCGTTTGAGTATTAGTCTTTGCGTGTACGTAAGTGTGATGCCTGGAGCTCACACCAGCCAGCTTTCTCTGTTGCTTGCACTGCTTGCCCTATTTCTTTTGTTTCTTTCTTTCTTTTGAGACGGAGTCTTGCTTTGTCGTCCAAGCTGAAGTGCAGTGGTGCAATCTGGGCTCACAGCAACTTCTGCCTCCCAGGTTCAAGCGATTCTCCCGCTTCAGCCTCCTGAGTAGCTGGGATTACAGGTGCGGGTCGTCTGGCTAATTTTTGTGTTTTTAGTAGAGACGGGGTTTCACCTTGATGGTCAGGCTGAACCCCTGACCTCAAGTGATCCTCCCGCCTCGGCCTCCCAAAGTGCTGGGATTACAGGCATGAGCCACCGCGCCCAGCCTGCTCTATTTCTTTTTTGAAGGTCTCATTCCTGAAATCAGGATATACTAGGTCAGCCCATTGCATTTTGGGATTAGTGCTTTATGCGCCTGCAGGCTCCAATTTCTGGCCTGATGTCAGAGACTGAACTTGAGCGTTAGGTTTTCTGTATCCCAGTCTAAGTTCTTGTCTTGTGTGGGAAGATCAGCCGTTAGTCAATATTGTGGCGGGGATACATGCTCATTCTCTTGTTGAAGTTGTCTCTCCTCTTAGTATATGGGAAAGAAAGAGGAAGCTGATTATTGAAAACAGCTAACTTCAGGTGAATCCCTTTGGATATATTTGTGTGCTACATTCTCTGAGATTCTATAGCTGTACTTTTTTTTTCCCCTAAACTAACCCCCCCCAAAAAAAATCACTTTCTTTTTTGAGAGGAGCTGAATGGTGTTGGTGGATTTTAATTTACTTGGTAGGAGAAAGGGAAAAAACATTTCTAATCTCTGATGCATCAAAGATGTGCTCAGAAGTACCTTATAACGTGTTTGGCGTTGATCTGTAGCTTGTATTGCAGATGTGTGACTGCTATCCAAAGTGTCTTCTCAGGGGTGTTTGGTGATTGTGATTTCCCCTTAACTTCCCAGGAAGGCATTCTGTCAGTCAAGCATTGAGAATATTTTCTTTATTTTTAGTAGTGCTGTTCCTAGTATAGTCATCTATTGCTCCAGTTTTGAAGAATCTCCTCTGGAGATTTTTAAGAGCTGGCCTGTAGACATATATCTGCAGTCCTCTAAACCTGGGAGGAACATTACCTCTTCATCCAGAGAGTTCATTGTTAAGTCTCTGAGATGAAAAAGAAAACGAAAATTCTTCCAGAACCTGTGGAACATTTGCTCATCCTTTGAATTTGCAGCTGAGCTCCAAGTTTACAGAAATCACTGTGTGTGCCTGAGCCAGCAGCTTCACGTTTACTTTTCCTATTTTTTTATATTATAGCATCAAAATTGGATTGTTTTAGCCAGGGGAACCTAAGAGATCATCTAGTTTAAACAGCCTGTGTTTCATATGGGAAAATCTAAGCAGCAGAAAGGGAAGTGATCTCTGGGATTTCTTGTAGTGATGGAGACTAAATTGGGGCAGGAGCTGCTGGGACTCCTCCCTGTCCCACCCCATTAGACCTGGGGACTTTGCAGCCTCTGGCTAATTTGCCAGGCTCTAATTGAGCCTCTGCAACTGCACTCAGCCCGAACTGGTTTTGTGACAAGTTCCTGATTCCTTTTAGATATTTTACATTATTGAAAGTGCTCCATAAAGTATATTTCATTTGCTCCTTTTAAAGGTATCCTTTTATATACAAAATGACCTTATATCGAAAACTGAAAGAATAGATGAAAAAAAGAAATCATGCAGGGCAGGGAAGGGCGGCTGCCTGCAGGTTGTCCTGCCTTCAGGCAAAGAGACCAAGCTTTGAGCTTTTGTACCCACTGTCAAGCAGCCATTGATTCCCTTTGGGAAGGGGGTGTTGTTTCACTTCCCAGGCCTCTGGCAGAGACACCCTGTTGTGAATTACAACCTGCAGCTCCCCTGGCTGAGGTGAGGAGGGGATGTGGACCTGCCTGGTGAACAGCATCCGGATATAGCATGCATAGTACGCGCCATATGGAGCTGTGCACAAACTTCTCCTTTCCTGCTCCTGACAGTCTCTCCTGGGCACCTTGGAGCTGCCTAACCTTGTCCTGCACCAGGGTATACTCCCTCTCTTACATGGTCTGGGGCACTTCTCAGTCACAGGTGTAAGGATTCTTAGTCAGGTGAAAGCCCAGGAGGGCACTGGTCCCTGTGCTGTGGAGCTTGGCCTTGGAGCGTGCTATACCCCAGGGAGCTCAGATGACACCTGGCTAGTCCTTCTGTCTTTGCTGAGGGGTGACTGTGGGAGGCCAGAGGCCAGCACCACCCTTGGGTATGGACATCCCAGGTCCCTCTCCCTGCCCTGGCAGGGGAAGCTTCAGCAAGTCCCCTCGAAGTCCTTCATGGGTGAAGTTGGGCAGGAAGGGTGAGGGAGGGGCTTCCTCTGGCTCTTCAGGAGACCTCTCTGCATGCTGAGCCAGGTCAGAGTGTCATTCAGCCCAGCACCCTGAGCCTCCAGGACAGGGGCAGGTCGGCACAAACTAAAAACCGCACAGGTGAGGCAACAGGGCCTGAAGAAAGTTGCCACAAAGTCAAAATAAAAAATTCACAAAGAGTGGCTCACGCCTGTAATCCCAGCACTTTGGGAGGTCCAGGTGGGTGGATCACCTGAGATCAGGAGTTCAAGATCAGCCTGATCAACATGGTGAAACCTCATCTCTACTAAAAATACAAAAAATTAGCCAGGCGTGGTGGTGCACACCTGTAGTCCAGCTACTCGGGAGGCTGAGGCAGGGGAGAATTGCTTGAACCTGGGAGGTGGAGGTTGCAGTGAGCCAAGATCGCACCATTGCACTCCAGCTTGGGCAATGAGAGCCATACTCTGTCTCAAAAAAAAAAAAAAAAAAAAAAAATTCACAAAGTGGAAACAACCCAAAAGTGGAAGTTGAATTTGATGGGAGGCCCCCATTTGCTCTTTGCACTTCTTTCATTTGGCTTCTCTGAGCCCATACGTGTACTTCTCTCTTCTTTGAAAGTGTTTTTTCCCTGCATCGCTCAATTTGTGTGCATGGTGCGTCCCCCACACATTAGGCCAAATCTCTGTCTGCCTTCTTATGCCCGGCCTTAGAGTCACAGGCTTTGATCGATTGTGTTATCATCTGGGCCTATTTGGTGGCATTTCTGGCAGTTAGAAGGTGAGGTGAAGATGCCACAGCTCCCACAGGGCCTGGGAGAGAGCACATGGTGAAGACCTGTCCTGCCTGAGCACCAGGGAACATGCACTAGATGGACAACACCTTTCACCAATAAGGGCTGGAGAGTCACTGAATAAGAGGTGACAAGTGTCTGTCACTCTTACTATGAGCCAGACACTATTTGAGGTCCTGGGACGTGATAGTGAAGCAGCAGGAGATGCCCTGCTTTCCGGGACTCACAGGTGGTTGCAGGAGTTAAACAGTTAATTAAGATGAGATCTGTGGATGCATCTGAGACAGGAGTAAGTAGTGAAGAAAATAGAACTGCAGGGCGTGGAATGCATTTTGGGAAGGGCGCCCAGCATAAGCCTCTTGAGAGTCGAACTAAGAGTAGAGTGAGATCGAGCTGGAGGGACAAGTGCAAAGGCCCAGAGGAGAGGCAGAGCTTGTGGGACGTGCACAAAGGAAGCTCGTGTGGCCCAGGCTGGGGGACTGGGAGGTAAGGTGGAGAGATCGGCAGGGCGGAGCTCTGTGGGACCTTGTGGGCTGTGGTTAGCAGACAGGAAGGAGACTGCCAGGTCAGGTGTTAGGCAGGGTTAGACTGGGCCGGGTTTTTGGGCCTTGTTCTCCCTTGGCCCCTGAGGGCTGTCTGTAGCTGTGGCCTCTGCAGGGCTGGATCAGGCCTTGCTCAACTCCCTTCATCGGGCCTGCAGCAGGGAGGTGCCAGGAAGTGTCTGTGGACTTGGGTTGACCTGGGCCTTGGGTGATTTTCTTCCTGCTTCCTTTGTGGGTCCCCTACTCTGTCTGAGCTCTATCAGCCCCACAAGGTGGCTTCCGCTCTGCAGACCCTGCCTTTGTGCATCGTTAGGGG